CCGCGATGTGCTGCGGGAAACTAGCAGCCAGCTGTCTCTTTTAAAGAAAAGCAGGCACCGGCTTCGCGCCTTATTTTTATGTATGTACGGTATATTCCTCTAAACCATAACCGTTTATTATCCTGCAGATCATTTATGAAAGCGATTATTTGAACATTCCTTCATTTATACATATGTGTACATAATATACATAGAAAAATAGTTGTACATTTGTGTATATACTGTACTGTTAAATGACGAATACTTCTGTTTGAAGCAGGCGACAATTAATTATAGCATTTATAGRCGCTATTCCGCACAATGGCAACCAAAGAACTGCTCAACTAAAATGCTGAATGGAAAGCAATTTACACACATTTAATAAATTCATACATAAAAGTATGTACCAAATACATACATATGCAAGCTTTGTGGTTTTAACGGCRTTATGTTGCACAAAAATTGTGTTGTACGACAAAGACTAARTTTTTAATCCGATTTCTTAATTACATAGACATTTAAAATTTCTGTGGTTCCTTTTGTAGGCAACTGCTTTTAAGATTTGCAACTGTGAAGGGTATGATAATCTCGCTACAGCCGAGGTTAACGTTTTTTCTTGTTTTAACCTTTTTTTCTCTCTTTAGCCGTATTTAACGGGCTTTCAGCTAYGACCGACTAAATATCATGTGAGCCTAACTGTTGATATATTTTCTTAAAAACTACGCACTTCTGATCCTTCTAATGTAAAAATAATAATTCTGAAGCTTCTAATGTAAATAATAAAACAAAAAATATTTTTTGCAAATTTCCTTTAACAAAASCATGCCGTTTGGCATTACAAAATGTCGCTGATAAAACAAATTAACTTGACTTGATTATCATCGCATCGAATGGTAACGATGTCACCTCGACATTGACCCAGAAAGCAGACAAGCGTTACGTTTCCTRCTTTCCTTCAAGACCTTACGCTTTTCTCAACGTCTATGATGGCATTATTGCTTGTTTACATATACATACATATGAGTGTATGTACATCATATGACTGTGSCAACGTAATTGGCAGCAAGAGTGTCCCTGCAGTGCATTTTAGTAGGCCATTCGCCCTTATTGTCAACATATTTGCAACTACTATTTGTGTGTATGTACGTATAAATATGTACATATGTATGGTTATGTACTTGTAGAATGAGTTTTAAAATTGGTCAATGTATATCTACACTAATGTAAATAGAAGCTATATGCATATATGTACATGTTCATATGATTACTCTTTCACTTGGCCCAATTCGCTGCAACATAAAAATAACGGTTTAATGTCATTTATGTCCTTTTGTCGCTGCTGTTGTCTTCTTAATGCTTTGGACTGTTCGCTTGCCTGCTTTAATGTCCTTTCGCGTCATCCCAAATGCATCATTTCGCAGCTATATTCTTTTGTGTGTGCTTATACTTGCTCGACCTCGCCGTTATTTTGCTCATCTACATGAGGACGTGCCTTCAGCTAGTTAGTTAGTCAGTTATACACTAATTTCACTCAAGTTTCATTATTGTTTCGTGCTTTTGCCATCATTTTCATTCCCATTTTGATTTTATTTTATTTTATTTTATTTTGTCCTTTGTCCTCTACTTGGCTAGCTGTATCCTTAAAGATCGCTTTTTATATACATATGTATGTACATATTTTTATTATGGATGGATTTTTAAGGCTCTGCCAMGAAGCTTATATCAGTATGTCAATCACCATATGACTATAAGAAATGCAGTTGTTTTTTCCTGTTTTCACACCAATTTTCTTCAAATTGTTTTGAGTTAAATTTCAATATATTATTGAGAAGAAAATATGTATTTTCTCACATCATCATAAGAAAAACATTCAGTTCATTACATTTAAAACACCCAGTATGTACGGGTGTTTGTATGTATTTAAATACATATGTGCCCAAAATTTGTTTGCCCCACTGTCATTCGAAAAGCGACAATCAACAATAAACACACTCAATCAGCTGTCTAGTGCACGCAACACTTGTTCATACGCAAATCGAATAAATAAACACTTGCGGCGACCAACTTTGCCGCCATTCAACAGCTGRCAAATCGAATCAGAATCAGAATCTAATTGGCCGTTGTTTATGTGCGCCTACTCAGCTGGATTCACCTTGGTATGGAATTTACTTGCGCCGAAGAAACTCGAACCGATCGTATGAGCCAAGATTTGGGCCAAAGAAATTTTTATTACGCACTAGTGAAGAAGTCAAGAAAATTATTTAAAATTGCGCCAGCAAGCGTGGAAATTATCCATTTATTTCGAATTTAATTGAGGTTAATAGATTTGCGAAAAAATATTTAATTTACAATATGATGGCAATGCGTTTATTTGTGTGAATTTAAAATAATTAATATTATATTCTTTGTTTTTTTTTTTTTCTTTTAATTGCAGTTGCAAAGCAATAACGCAAGCTACTTACATCCCGATAAGCTTGGTTAGCAAATCAAGTTATGGAACTGCCCTCGATGGTGCAACGCTCCGGCGACACGCTTATAGTGCGTAGTGTCGTAAGTGGCAATCAATTGTACTTGGATCAGGGTGCTGCTTCCACTAATAATCTAAACAACAACAAACATAGTAGTCCTTCACCACTGCAGCAACAACAGCAACAGTCGATTAACGCCGCAAACTTATCAAATAGCACGTTGGAACAATTCGAACGTTATCGCGCTGCAGCGGCGCAATATCATCTACAACARCAACAACASCAAAATGCCGCACAGCAGCAACAAAATGCTGCTGCTGCTTCGGCGGTAGCGCAACAACAGGCGATGGAACTAAAGGATGAGGGSCTTCCACAATGTAAAATCAAGCGAAATTACAGCTGTAGTTATTGCACATATTTCACACAGAATCCGCGTTATCACCTAACTCATCTGCGCGATGTACATGGTGAAAAGATTGTCATCAATAAGTGCAAGTTGTGTTTGTACGCGTCGCGACATTTCCAAAAATTGGTGCGACACATGAAAATGGTGCACGGCTGCACCGATGGTGTGACCGGTGGACATGGACAGCCGCGTGGCAAACGCGGTATGAGTCGGGAGGCACGTAAACGAAAACTAGAGCAAAGTGTTGGTCTGGGAAGTGCGCCCTTGGAAATGAACAGCGGCGGTAGTAATATGGGAATGACCGAAGGCATGCCAACTTATGAGCAGGTGAGCCAAAAATTATTTATAATAAAGAAAATTATACAAGTGTATATTTAAAAACACAGTGCAAACAGTTTTCTGCAATGAAATCGGTAGTATCGGCTTCTTAAATTCTAAATATTATTCCAATAACGAATTTGTTTACATAAAAAAATTAAATATAAATTATATATTAATCTACCACATTAGGTGAAACGCGAACTGGAACTGCAACGTGAATCTCTCATGGCCGTTGTCTATGAACGGGAATTGCAAGCACAGCGTGAACGTGAGCTTGAAGTCCGTCAGCAAGCACAAAACGCCTACGAACAAGAAATGCAAGCCGCAAACTCTGCTGCAGCTACGGAAACACAACGTCGCCAATCGCCACTAAATGCAATAAACAATAATAGCAACAATACCAATGTCATTACAAATGGTAGTAGCAAAAGCGATTTTCAATTGCCACCCCCGCATCAGCAGCAGCTTAATATTAACACCCACAGCATCGAGCTGTCATCATCACCCACCGATTCGGTTTCATCGGAACAAGGTACTGATGCTGCTACCTCAGCAGCATTGCACTCCAGTGGCGTTTCATTGTCATATGTGGGTGATGAACCCTCGCAGAATAGGCTCTTGAAGTGCAGCCTCTGCGATTTCACAACCTTATTCCGCGCTCAATTGTTAGACCATGAAATGGATGAGCATTGCAAAACGAAATTCTTCCGCTGTGAGAAGTGTTCGTATGTAACACATATAAAGGCTCGCTTTAGCAAACATGTTAAATATCACTCAATGCCTATGATTAAGTGCGTCACTTGCGATTTTCGCACACCCTACAAATGGAATCTCGATCGACATATGAAAAATCATGGTGGCGCTGGTCCATTTAAGTGTGCCGCCTGTGATTTCACAGCCGACATCAAGCAATCGCTAACTGTGCACGAAATGAATCATCATGTGCCACCAGTAGGGCACGCAGCTGGCATGTCGTTGGCACGTCGTCGCAATAAAGTCGGTGGTACGGACTTATGCGATGATTTCGATTTAATAGAAGATCATTACAATAATAATAATCTCGACGAGTATGATGAAGCTTTAATGACCGCAGAACCATATAGTAAACGCAGTAAATACGAAGACGACGAACCCACCGACTTGTCGGCGAAAGGCGGCTCTTCCGACACATCTTCCGTGCATAATCAAAGTGTGAGTTTAGCACAAACGCCAAAGGCAAAGCGTCCCATACCGAATCTCATTCCGATACCGAAAAATAGCGGATCTAGGTGAGTATAAAAAAGATTTTCATACACAAAATTTTTGATGAAAAAACCTGAAAAATTATCTAAATATGTTGAAAAAATTTCCAAATTACACTTTTTTCTCATTTTTATTTTATCAGCATTATGAACCTTTCCAAGGAGTTTGCCACTCCGCGCAGTTCTCTTACTGATATCGCTTCCATTTTCCTCAATGACAAACATATTTCCGAGATACTTGAGAAAACGGATGCCGCCCAGTTGTCACCCACCCCCACCGTCGCGTCGACTTCAAGTCACGCCTCACGTAGCTTATTGCTGAAGAAGTCCACACCTGGTGGCAGCTTTTTTGACAAACTGAAGTCCTCTGCCCTGACAGGACCGAATGAAAATCTGATCTGCCCTTGCGGTCATATGGCAAAATGCTTATCCGAATCGATAATACATCGTAAAACTTGCAATTTCGCCGCAATCGCCGAAGATGACATCGAAGAGGAGCAAGATGATGCTGATGATCGTTTGSAAATCGATTTTGCCGATGACGATGATCGGCAGTCACATTCGGCACTGAATTTGAGTGTCACCGGTTCGACACGTTGTCAGCATTGTCGCCACCGTTGCAAATCGTCGACAGATCTATTGAATCATATCAAACAATGCACAGAGGCGAGTCGTTGCGGTAATGATTCATTTGATTCACTCTCTGGTGAGAGCAGTGGTGGGCGTGTTGGTTGCGTTGATTCCAATACTGAACAACATCCCATGGAGAATCGTGTATTTATTTGGAATAAAATTCCGGGCGGTGAACCGCGACAACGTGAAGGCAGTCAATGCTCAGATAGTCGCGGACAAGCTAACAACACAATGGAGTCTTCCGGCAGTAGTGGGCATGGCGCTAGTAGTGTCACCTGTGAGGAAAACAGTTATTACGGTGTTGAAACAGCCCCAGGTTATGGTGAGGTGAGTTAGTATGCTATCTTATTGTTGCTATAAAAGCTCTCTCATCCTCTTAACCATCTTTAGCTATTGGTTAGAGGATTTGTATAAAATGAAAATTGAAACTTTCACTATCTGCAGGTAACGAAAAAGATGACACCCGAAGAGGAAGCAGCTAATTCTTCATTGAAAAAGGTATACAAATGCCCACACTGTTCCTTTTGGGCTTCCACAGCATCCCGCTTTCACGTACACATCGTGGGTCATTTGAATAARAAACCGTTTGAATGCTCGCTCTGCTCGTACCGTTCCAATTGGCGTTGGGATATAACAAAGCACATACGCCTAAAGACCATACGCGATCCGAGTCACAAGAATGCGCGTGTCTTGATGAATGACGAGACCGGTCGTCGCAACTATACCAAATACAATAAATATATAACCTTAATGAAAGTAACCGAAGAAGATGGTGATCCAAAATTAATGAAATCGGGTGAGATGACACCTAATCAGGTCGCTTCGCTTTCATTCATCAATGACTTTAACAAAGGTGTGGTTCCGAATGCATTGACTTCCACACATTTGAATGGCATAAAAGAGGACATAACCCTCGAACCAATACCATCCAAATCGAKCAATGGCGGTAGTGGCAATATTAGTGGTGATCAATTAAACGAAAGTTTCATACGTATACCTTTCCTTGCTACGATGATGAATGCTGCTATGGCGCAACAACAGCATCAGCAGCAGAAGGATCCGGATCAAGGYCAAGCAACCATGATTACACCTTCAGTTACGATTTCCGCGGTGAAACGTTCGCCACCGCCGCTCATGAAGCCAAGTGATGATCTTGTCACAGATGTACGACAGGAGGGGAGTGAGAAGAAAACTTTCTATCGTTGTCGTAAATGCAGTTTTCGGTAAGTAAAAAAATATTAAATGTGATAAAGTTATACTATTCCAATATGTTATATGTATTTAAACTTTTTTTTGTAATTATTTTTAATTTTTTTTTGTTTTGAAGTTTTTTACAGAAATTTGTTATAAACAAATTAATTATTTCTAATTTATTTCTCATTATTCTCCCACCCTTAGGCATACCAATCGCGATGCGGTACTCGCCCACGTCAAAATACACTATCAGGATGCCAATTACCCGATTGTAACAGCAACAGCAACAACCTCGCCGAAATCGGCGAATTCGCAACAACAACACAACACACCACTTCAAGTGGCCGTGAATCCAAATATTTATATGAACAAAGTTCTCGCCGCAATGTGCCTTTCCCAGCAACCTAATTCGAGTACACCAACCAACAACAACAACAATAATGATCAACAGCATTCCATTATATCGGCCGGTCTACTACAACAAGCTATACAGGGTGCCTCACCYAATTCCCCACTCGGCTGTTTAGCACTAACACTCGCCGGCAAGAGTCCAGCAAAAGCAACTGCTTCTATTTTAGAGCACGGTGAGCAGAAAGCGACACAAAACGAGGCAAGTGCCAGAAGGCCTACGTCGCCCAAACAACAACAACAACACAGCAACAATCAAAATAATATAAGCATAGCGAATTTGGCGTCGTCATCAGCGACATCGCCTTCCCCCAAGTCCTCTGGCAGCAGTAATGCCAACGTTGGTGTTGGTATGGTCGGTACGCCCACATCAGCATCATCGTTGCAACACTTGTTGACCTCACCGCGAGGCACTTACACATCATCATCCAATTCATCATTACGCAATCCCGTGCATTCGCCTACAGCAATCAGCAACAACAACAATGGTGGTAGTGGTGTTACTAATAACAATAATAACAATAAACATTTGGTTATGGGTGCTTTAGCAGTTATGAAACACAACAGCGCTGCAACGAATACAAATGACARTGTCTTTGGTTCACCGACRAGCGTAAACGCAGCAACAGATGCAAATTCTACATCATCATCATCGGTGCTAGCATCACCGAATGCTGGTGCAGCACAACACAATACACCCAGTGGCACAACAGTAACTACACTTTCTACTACTCCTTGCAATTCTACARCAGCCATTGGTGGTGTAAAAAGCGCTAACAACAATCCATATCATTTGCAAATGGGTATCATCGGTGCTACATCTATGTCCAACAATCATAATGGTGGTAGTGGTAGTGTTGTTGGTGGTGGTGGTGGTGTCATTGCTAGTCAAATGACTCATAGTGATAATAAGAATAGTCTATGTATTGGTGGTATTATATTTGGTTCTAATAATCCTACTACTACTACTACTTCTACTAGTTTAATTCGCAATACTTCCATATCTACTACTACAAATTCAACAACAACATTAGCTAGCAGTCCCACAACTGCTGGCCATTCTAGTGGTGGTGCATCATCATCAACTTCATGTAATTTGTTATTAAGTTCGGCTCAGTCGGCAACAGCGGCGGCGGCGGCGGCAGCGGCGGCAGCAGCTCTTTATGCYTCCAATGCGATCACATTGTCACCGCCATCGGCATCGTCGTGTMTATCGGCAAATGCAACAGCAAACAATTTCAATAATATCACACAAAATCTMAATCAAAGTCAAAATAACAATTGTAGTAATTTATTAGTAAACGACAGCGAGCGACGTGAACCGTCGCCGTATCGTTGCGGTCATTGTCATCAAGTATCGAATTGGAAGCATGTCATTCAGGTATTTTTATACTTACTCGGTATATGTACTAATCCTAAAACAAAAACAATCCGAATATTTTTGCCATTCACTTTCATTTTACATACATTTTACTTTCTTTTAGTGCTATATACTTAACTCTTTTGTTTAACAACAACAACAACATAGCTGTGCTAGTTAAACGCAAATATCGTGMGGCTTATATTTTTACCTAGATTGTATTTAGCATAATTAAATGTTCTGATAAGGCGTAACAGCTGAYKKGCTTATAATCTATCTCTTCCGAGGGAATYACTAAAAGCCCTCCTTTTGTTGTCCCAATGAGTTTTATGTTGTTATATTATATAATTCAATTGCCTTACCTGTAATGGGAGATAAAAACAAGCCSACYRCATATATACATATAGCTGTTATGCATAGTGGCATATGACCAAATTTGACCCGGACTGAGCATGCCAACACTTTCCAATTATGCATAGACGTGTTATAAGCTTTACGCAAATTTCCGTTCAATTTTAGAGGACCATTCGCTAGTTTATTGTACTTCCGTCGTCTTATTCTATTGGAAGTAGAAAATTTCAGACAGATTCTTTCAATTTTTATAGAGTAAAATTCGCATTACAAATGCAGTTTTTATGAACCAGTCCGAATCAAATTTGATCTTGAAGTGACAGTAAAGAKATTAATTTTCAACTCATTTTTAGCCGATATACCAAGTAATAGKCTTCTAAATTATATTTTAAAAATAGTTTAAATTAAGAAATTAAAAAAAAATAGAAGAAAATTAAATAAAAACTAAAAAGAGTTTAGAAAAATGTTCAGTATTAACGGCGAGTTTATGTGAGCTACCATAGTACGAGAATTTTCTGGTATACGTACCACCTACCATTGCTTTTTATCTACTCCCAATTTTTTCATTATGCTAATTTTTTTTAGAAAGTCTCAAAAATTTCGTATTATATTTCGTCCGCTTGTTGCACGTCGCAGTAGTACAAAAAAATATATATATTACAATAACACCAACCACCCAATCATGGCAACTATTGTGTTTGTATAGAGAATTGTTATCGTCCTACTGGTAAATATACGCTGGATTTATATAATTTTTGTCTTTTGTGTACAATAATAATCGCATACAAATAACACAATGATGATACAAAGGTTACGGCGTTAGTATCATGTTTCCATAAAAATCTTCAAACATATTGGTTTTCGGTCGCTAGTAAAAAATGCATTATATTTAAGCTAAAAAACTCATACCTTTCCTTATGAACCAGAAAAACTTCAACATAAAATAGTAAAATAAGTTAAAAATTAAGTAATCGCATACATTTTGGGTTTGGGTATGTTTTTTTTATCAAACTGTATACATTTCTAATTTCACTTAACACAACATTCATCTAAAATATATGTATATAGTAATTTAATTGTATGTATTAGTGCAGGTGTCTGGTGCGCATTAAAATTAAACACTCATTTCATTGTCTCCATTTCTTAAAGTGCCCATTCAATAACGCTCTTAAGTGTTTACGCCGAGAAAGTATTTTTGTCCCACACTCATAAGCTTAAATACATATGTCCTGAAAAAAATGTTTTTCCATATTTATTAGAGAAGTATTTTATCGCTGGGTTATATTTGTGTGTAAAAATATTTAAATTAGCAAATGTCTCGAAAAAAATTACATATTTACTATATAATAGCATATTTATATTAAACTATGTATTCAGGCCAAGCATTTGCTTTGTAATATTTTGTCTCTTATTTATTTATCATACATATCTACATATTTTTTGTTGATGAATTTCTTAAAATATTTTTCAAAAAATTTTGTATATTATTAGTTAACTGTATTTATAATTAAAAACGAACAAATTTGTCTTACCCGCGATTTTTCTCTATTTTCTTGCATCTGCAGCGGCATTGTCGCTTGAAACACGCTGGCGACATACGCATCGAAACCCTTGATCGCAGCGTTAACAGCAACGAACGCAACGCGCCGCCAGTCTATCGACCGCTCGGCAGTGGCGCCACGAATGAGTCCAATTATGGGCAAACACTCAAAGCTTTACAACAACAACAGAACCAGCAGCAGCAACAATCACCACATCTGAACAACATGTCGGGTCCGCCGAGCAACTCTGTACTTATGAGCAACAACAAGACCGAACAGCACCTATTGCATTCGCCACTGGCCGGCACCGCTGCCGCCAATGCCGCCACCACACCGCAAGAACTGCAACAAGCTGCCGCTGCTTACATAGCCGCCACATATAAGGCTGCAGCGGCAGCGGCCAATTCAGTTGGCAACGGTTCGGCGGCAGCAGCCGTCGCCGCAGCAGCTGCGCTTGGCCTCAGCAGCGAAGATTTGCTGTTGCATCAACAATTGCAGCAAAATGATCAAATTGAAATAACACGMTTGCCGCCAGGTGTTGGCAACTCAACTGCCGGGCAGTCGTCGCAATCGTCGCAGGGACAACAGCCGCAGCAGCAGCAACAACAACAGCAATTGAATTCCAAATGCAAGCAGCAAAAATGTCCAATGTGTCCTTACATCTCGGAGAGTAAGTCGCAAATGAATTATCACATCTCGTTGCATAAGCCRACGCAGTACGAGTGTTCGTTGTGCACMTTCGTCTGCGCCAAGAAACAACATTTGAGCAGCCACATGCGCACCGTACACCAGCAACACAATTTGGGCGCGTCCAATCAAATGAACAACAGCATAAGCGCCACCATCAATTCGATGGACTTCAGCATGGCCCTTCAACTGGCTGCCGTCGCACAGGCGCAACAGGTAAAGCGTTTTTTTTTTTTGTTTATCTAAAACCTTATCTTTGTACATTTTTTAATTAAATATTGGATCCAATTAAAAAAAAAAAGGTCGCTTAATTACTCCCTTCCTATTTTTTTCAGGACGCCTCATCCTTAAACTCGCCTCTAGCTATAGATCTTACAGCTTTGAAGCAGAAAATTTCTGCCGTTCAACAGCAGCAGCAGCAGCAACAGCAACGCCAATCACAGCAAGCAGCTGCACTAAACACCCAACAACARCAACACCTCCACATAAATGCACAAACTGCTGCCGAAAACCAAATTAAGTGCATCCTTTATTGCCCGAAATGTCCTGCGCGCTACATGCAAAAATACACTGACACCTCCAATGCCAAAGCGGAATTGGATGATCACCTTAAATACCACAGCGGCAGCGATACAATGACACGGATGGGCAACAGCAAGCAAACCACCGCACCCGCCTTCAAATGTGAATTCTGCGATTATGCCGCCGCACACGAAGCTTACATACAGACTGTCTCTTATACACATCTAGATGTGTATAAGAGACAGGTGTACCGAACTGTATAAGCAAGTGCACGAGGATGCCGAATATGCGCCGCCAAAACTTATGCAAATCACCCTAGCCAAGAGCTTGCAACAAGCACCCGAAACCATCTGGATTGTCGACAATGACTTAAATGAGCAGTGCAAGGAACAGCAACAACATGCAAGCATATCCTCCTCATCTGTCGCGCCAGCAACAATGAGCACATTAGCTGCGACAACAATGACAGCAACAGCGCACTTCGATACCGCCAATTCACTGCTGAAGAAGCAGTTGGAATCTGGTATAGGCGGTAGCAGTGGTGGGGCTGGTAGTACCGCATTGCGTCACACACCTTCGCCGACGCACATGCCAAAAGAGCTGAACGCCGCCGATGCGGATGATTCATCGAACATGCCRTCGACCAGCGCCTCGGTGGCCACCAGCGATTTGGCAGTAGATGGCGGCAGCGATTTCACCTCAAGCATTGCATCGCCGGCGCCAATGGAGAAGTGCCTGTACTGTCCCTACGAGACGAAGCATACCACGCTCTACAAGGCGCACCTGCAACATCACATCTGCATTAGTAATCAGAAGGAGGCTTTCACCTGCGAACATTGCGACTACACGGATGCCAAGCAAGAGCACATTGAAGAGCACACACGCGTGCACTTCAATGCAGTGGAGAAACTGAAATCTGTGGCCTTCTTCACCTCCTATGACAACCTGGAATTGAGTGTGGAGCAAGAGGGCGGCGCAGATGAGAGTGCAACAGCCGCAACGACGTCGCTCGAACAAGAATTGCAGAATCAGAATGAGCAGCAAGTAGAAAACTCGAAGGCGGCGATTAGCTACTGCGAAGCGCAGGACACCGTACAAAATGAAAGTGTCGCTGATGTTTCGACAATGCTGCTATTAAATATCAAACAAGAGCACAACAACAACAATGAAGAACATATCATCAATGAAAATGTGCTGAAGGAACAGCAATTGCCGGCAGCAAGTGCGCCAAAAGGTGGCAGCAGCAGCGGTAGCGGTATTAAAATAAAGCTGGACAGCGATGAAAAAGCAACGGAGARAACAACAACAACATCAGTGGCGGAAAACACGAAAAAGCCTTGCAACAAAATCATACTCTACAAAAATGATGGCTGCCTGAGCATAAAGCGCGAAGGCGCCTGCAACACCAGCAACAGCAACAACAATGCTAGCGCCAACTGTGAGAATATCAGTGATCGTTTGCGTCGCCGCATATCACGCAACAACAGCAACAATGCCAGTCATTTAAATGGTAATACAAATAATAATAACAGCAATATTAGTGATGAACACACCGTTGCCGCTGCTGGCTGTGGCAGCGGCGCACAGCCGCCAAGCCATAAAACCATATTAGTAAATGCCAAAACAGGTCAGGTTATTAGTCGGAATTAATACTTGCGTGTGTAGTTATGTATTTATGTAGTTCGCTAGTGGCTGCAGCCATCAGCATTTGATGAATGGAAGCAGGAACAGTGAATAGTTCTTGGTTTGAGTCGCATTTTAAGTGGCGTCACGCAGTTTTCTACAAAAATGCGGGAATTTATCTGAATTTAATATTTGTTGCATAATGAAAATTGGAATCKGCAAGCCCCAGCCGTGGTGTATATGAAAGTAATTTGCTTATTATTAATTATGTGTAATTCTCGTTGCGATTTTCTTAACCATTATAGGTTATGCTTTTAACTTCCCGCGAATTAAATGGTTTGCGCAATAATATGTGTGTGTTTTCAGTTCTTGTTGTTATTGTACGTATTTGAATTTTGTTTTTTTAATAAAATCAAATAAGTGTTAATTAAAAAAAGAAAAATATGTTATTTCATAGTTAATTAGTTGTAAGTGCGTTTTAATTAAAATTTGTTGAATCTACCGTATCAAAAGTCGCTGTCTTCCAAAGCGCTTTGAGTTCTTTTATGTTAATTTCTGCAAAATAATTTTTGTTTAATTTTTAGTTTTCCCTTTTTGTGACGCATAATGCATATAATAATTATGAATATTTTCTAGTTTTTAGTTTTTTAATAAAAATTATTCAAATTAATGTAAAATACACACACACATACTTATATACTAATGGGTTTCGGAAACACCAATACCTACAAACACAAGCGTTTTTGTTTTTTTCAATATAAAACTAATTATGTGTTGCAAATGAAAATATAAATATAATGTTGCTAAAGCATATTATCTTTATTAAGCTATTTCATGCTTAATTATTTTAAATAAATGAATTGTTTTTAATTAATAATAATGTGTATTTAAGTTTGTTGCCTAATTAAACAATAATTTAATTTGAATTAAAGCAAAAAATGTTTTTTTTTATTAATATTAAGTTGTCTGCGCGCATAAAATGTTGTTTTGTTTGTGTTAAAAAAATTAAAATAATTAGTGTAGCACCTGTCTCTTATACACATCTAGATGTGTATAAGAGACAGGTGCAAGTAGCTGGCGGTAAATAATCCAAGCAACAAGCGCAAAAGTAAGATGTTATAAATTTAAATTAAATCTAGAAAACACGTGCTTACTAAATAAATAATTATTAATTATTATACACTTTATTATTATAAATATGTAGCTATTTTTAAAATTATTATCAATTTAATTTTAAACCTGTCTCTTATACACATCTAGATGTGTATAAGAGACAGCTTATATACTATGTATTTACAATGTAAAATATGATTAAAATAATATTTAGTTGCACAGTGCAAGTAGCTGGCGGTAAATAATCCAAGCAACAAGCGCAAAAGTAAGATGTTATAAATTTAAATTAAATCTAGAAAACACGTGCTTACTAAATAAATAATTATTAATTATTATACACTTTATTATTATAAATATGTAGCTATTTTTAAAATTATTATCAATTTAATATTAATTTGTGTTGTTATAATTATTATTGTTAGCTATAATTACTGTGACGATAATAATTTATAATTTATATGTTGTAATTTTTTTTTTAATATTTTCATTTTTTTTATTTAACTTTTTTTTAATTTTAAATATTTTTTTAAATTTTAATTTTTTTAAATTTTAATTCTTAATTAATTGCTTTAATTTAATTACGACACCTTAGTTAATGTTATATATAATTCACCACTTGAAACCACTTGCAACTAAAATTTACTTGCAGCAAGCCGATCTTTATACACACTAGTTTAGCATAAGCTTACACACATGTATTTATGTGTATATATATTTTATGTACAGTGCATTTGCAATTAGCGAATGTCATCCAAATGGAAAATGAGTAGTTATATAGTCATTTATTTCTAAAAAAGAATAAGTAACAAACTTTCAATGGCAGAAGTGTCAAATGAAAGATAAATAGCATTAGTTAATTTACAAAAATTATGAAAATGCACATTGCACAATTTTGTTAAAGTGAAAAATTAGATATAAAATCGAAAGAATTGAAGATTGTATGTTTTACAAAACCACRCGAGCAACAAAAAATAGTTAACTGTTGATCCAAAGTCGACTTATGCTGTTTTAACATGTTGTCTAGGTGTGTTTGCATATGTTTCCTTATTATTTGCAAATATTTTCTTAAATAATTTTGTTGTAATTTTTGTTTTTAACGCTCAGCACAAACTGCACCTAACTTTCTTGGCATAAATGTTTCTACTTTGCATTTATCACTTGAAGTACTTGGCGCATACAATTGTCAATATAATAACGAAATAAATATTTGAAAGAAAATATGAATTTTGTTAAAAAAAAATTGCATCGCATTTAACAAGCGCAGCAAGAGTTGAAAATTTATTAAGTTTTTTGTCAGATTTTTGAAATTTTCTTTGTTAATTTTTTGGCATGGATGAAAGGATTTAATTTATTTGTTTTAAAAAAAATTTTCCTTAAAAACAGCCACCAAATTTTAAATAATATTTCCAAAAAAAAAAATATTTTTTAATTCTGCTATGAAAAATTTATCATAATCAAAAATTTATTAAGTTGTGAATAACATTTTAAATCTTCAATTAGTTTAAAACACAACAACACAGTTTTTATTAATATTTTCATTACAAAACATATTTTTAATATTTTTGATATGATTTTGTGTACCAATTTCAAAAAAGCAAGTTCTGATAGTCAAAATTTAAGAAAAAATCTATGCCAAAAATTAAAAACAGTAAGAAGTACATTTTTTTAAGTTTT